CCCCCCTCTGAGAGCCATCATGATGTTCAGCGTGTTCCCAGCACATGTGAACAGTGTGTACAGAGAACAGACTCCCATATGAATGCATAGATTCAGGAAAGGTGCATACAGTATCTGGTATGCACAAGACAAGAGAGAGAAATAAGTGAAATCATCAATGTTGGACAAGCGGTGTTATGATGAGGAATCAATAAAGTCTGTTTCAAATCAAATTTAAATAAACGACCATCCATGCAACAACATCGCTAGCTATAAATCATATCTGCTCTCCAGAGAAGAGATTGATTACAGATCTCTGAAAAACTAGACTCAATATGAGGACATAAATAATAACCAGGCAGATTGTAGTGTGTCCTGAACTGTAATTTAAGATGGCGAGTTATCAGCCTACTATCAACCTGGTAAATGTGTGAGAGGGAATAATAGTCACTGACACAGAGATAGAAAGATAGAGAGAATATGGAGATATCAGGTCGGTGAGATAAACAAACCTGTTCAAAGAATTCATCCATAAAGCCTTTGTCCATCCCCACAGCGACTTCATCCTCCTCCTCTGTCGTCTCCTTCCCCTGCACAAACACACATACAATTAGGAAATATTATGTAACAACAATTTTGTAAACTTCAATTTGAAATGTAGGATGTATTGGTTTTACAGTAACACTGGTCACGACCAGACCACGAAGGGCACAGGTCAATGGTAAATAAAGCAGTATTACCACTTTCCTCTACACCCATCAGCTGATTAGAAACAAGGAGCAGCTAATGACATTTGTAATTAGAACCACAGGTCGACTTATTAGCAAGATATTATTGAATTAGGACCTCGGAGCAGCATATTTGACAAACTCCAGCCTGCACACTCATGCACAAGCATCTACGGAAAGCAAATACAGACAAGAAGAAAGCACAAGGAAGATCACAAGAGCGGAATAAGGTTTCATCAAAAATAACTACAGGTTTTTGAATTCAAGAAATTACTTTGACTTGACAAAAGAGATTTGCATGGTTTTTTGCTGCTCTAAAATTGTAAATGTTCACTGTATATGTCTAAATATTCACTGCAAATAAGGAATATATTGTATTTCTAAAAGGTTGGAAGCAACAATATTTAGTTTCTCAATTTCTAACTCAAAGTACAACAAAGCGACAAATGTTAGCGAAAATAACTGATTAGGCTGTCTTATGTCTATATAGTTTCCAAAGTTTACATGATAGTTTCCAGAGTTTCCAGAACCTACCAAGTGATTTATTCTGAAATACATGCTCATTTCTAAACACACATCAGATAATACACTACATTAGCAGGGCCCTCATGTTGTGTCATCTCATTCATCGTGCGTCTGTCAAACTAATTCAATTCCCCATTAGTAGTCTATGAGACCCATTTGCTTATCAACGCTGAGATGAGAGGGTGTAGTTGTTATTTTCTTCTTTCTGAAATCTTATGTTATAAATGTCTAAATTCTGAAATAAATCTGCAAAATAAGGAATACTCTCTGCAGCCTCTGGCTAAATAATGTTGCTACAGGATCGTATATGGTGCGTATAACAATAAATGTCCTGATTGTTTTGTAAATAATAAGCTTAAGGTATACAGTATCCCAACAACCTCCAATTTTCCGCCAAACCCAACCCTCCCAACTCTAAATGTTCCTATAAAATGTTTGTACAAGACAAAAGCAATATTCCATTGAGCATTGTTTCTTTAAAACAAGAGGATGCCAGCCATAGCTGGTCCAAACACATTACTGTGCATGCATTAGTCCAGCAGCGGAGAGTGCAGGAAGCAGGAGAAATCATCATATAAATTGGGAGGACTTGTCTGCCATGAAGGTTTTAAACCACTTTGACTGTTTATACATCCATGAAATTCAGACACTGAAAGAAAACATGTTCTGTAACATAACGTTAAACTGAATCTCATCCGTCTTGTTTTAACTGCAATAACAGAAGGATTATTATGCACTCTTACTTCTGAACTCAAACCCAAATCACGTCTGTGGAGAGTTAACATGGGATATGCTGATATAGAAATGGAGCCAGGAAAGATGTGGAGAAAATCAGTGGCAGAGGAACCAGTTCTTGAGAAAAATGTCTTAAAGAACAGATTTCGGTGAGAGATGGCGAGGCAATTGGTGTGAAAAGCAAGTGAGAGGAAAGCAGAGCCTCTCATCACGCTAATCTAAACCCACTGAAAGGAGACCATTTTTGAATTCATGGATTGTAAGGCTCTGGTTTCAATAAAAGTACCTAAATATTTTGAAAACAAAATGTGTATTTAGGTCCAAAACAATGAACCTAAATACACAATCTGATAGCTTATCCGTAATACGCTCAGCTGTCATGACAACAGCCAATATGGTGGGTGTACCATATGTAGCTCTGTGGGGAGCAAAACACCTCACATGGCATTTATAACTTAAAGTATGGAGTTGGTATGGCAATGAGGTTCATTTGAGGGACTGCAGAGAGGAAAGAGGCGGCAGCAGCAGGAGGCAGAGGAGGAGGACAAGCAGGGAATCAGAATAAGCTCAGTAATGTTCTCCTCCTCCACAGAGAGATGCTGTTCCTCCTGCAGAGAGACGAGGGCGTTGGTGTGCTTTCTCCATGAGTGGTCATGAGGGCAGAAGAGCTGTACCCCAAACCTCCAGATCTGAACCTCCTGCTGAGCAACAAAGACACTGGGAGAGGACTTTAGTGTTGCATTCTTGACTCAGCCTACAGACTTCACTGTCCACACATAGCAGCTGCTCTCAGCCAGACTTGCAAACATACATGCACACAGCAGCTGACACACTGATAATATACAACAGACGGTTAACACACTGAGGGCTTGAGGCCTATACAAGCCGGTCCCCGTTAGAGCCATAAACCTTCAATTCCCTCTGCCTCTGGGGTTTGCTCTCGGGTGAAACACCCCGGCAGGAGAAGTGGCCTGATTATGCTGTTTATTAGATCAGAGAGTTGTTCTAGGCACCGTGCCAGCAGGGAGTCGCTCCATAAAGACAAAAGGCAGTGCCTGCACATCCAGTATAAACAGGAGAAGCCGGAAATATAGTCCATCAGTGAAAGAACGAGAGATAAAACAGGCATCAAGTGTGAAGGCTGCAAAATCACAGCTGTGAGTAGGGAAAAAAGAGAAGAGGAGAAACAGGGCATCATAACAATTATTGAAAACTGTGAAAGTGTAGTTGAATGTGCAATAGGTGGATTATAGAGACACTGTGGGCATGTGAGCATATAAGTGAGCCTGAAAGCAGATTTTCAAACAGTGGGAGCAGAAAGGCTTTGCCAAGGGAGAACAAACAAGTATTGTATTGTTGTTAGTATTTGACTAATGAGGGAAAGCTGAGTAAATAATAAATATGTTCAAGTATGTGAGCACACATCTATAATGAATGTTATATCGTTGATTATGGTAATCAATGTGGGTTCATCAGGTTAAATGGAGAGGAAGGGATTTTATCCTGTGAGTGCATTCGGACTCTTTTCACGGTTTTATCTGAGAGTTAGAAAGAGAAGAGCAGTGAGAAAACAATTCAAGTGAAGATTGAAACCCTTGTGGGCAGTCCTTTATTATCTTTTTGTGTTTTCATATTATAGCAGGCCTGTTTCCTGCGTCTTTGTATTGCAGCCAATTCAAGCAGCTTCTTGCATTCCCATTAGAAATGACTCATAACAATCTGTGTCAGCTGCACAGTGGAATACTGGGAGCATAACGAGATTTATTACCATAATACAGCGAGGTAACATTCATTATGGATGTGTGTTCACTAAAATACACACACATACTTTAAAATTGGATTATTAGTTTATGTTTTCTGCAGTTTTTTTGTGCTCCATTTGCAAATCATCGCTGCTAACACAGTGTCAAAATCGGCTATAGTTCAGGACCAAATCATGCTAAATTGAGGTCACATTCTTACGCAATATTAATAAGAACATGCCAGAAAAGTCAAACAAATAAGATGCCTCACATCATACAAAATCATTTAAGGTTTTAATCCCAATATTTAATTGATATATAGATGCATTGACATGCAAGCTATCTTCACACAATTTGAATTTTCAGACGATGTGAATGCTCTTCAGTCACATGAATTTACTGTCCATCCAATATAACGTGCCATTATCCTGACCATAGGGACAGGTTACCAAAATTACAAAACAAATAAATAATACTCAAATATACACATCAAGTATTTTCTGTAATTTGGATTACGTTTTCTAACTTCGAATGTGCATTCGCAGCACATCGACACACCACACATAATAGCCATGTTCCTTTCACCCTCTCCTGTATCAAGCTAATGATCGTATCCAAACAGACTTTATAATGAGTGCAGGTTTAACTTAGTTCATCACTAGAAAAAACAAACATTTAGCATGTCATTTTAGAGCAAATATGTTATCATCAAACAATCTAAATAAAAGCAAGTTATAGGATTTAGTTTACCAAGTAAACAGAGCAGAGATCTGATGCTGACACAGCAAAACCACAAATTAGCACTGGTCTATAAATGACTGATTGCCCGGCTGAATGTCAGAGTAAATGAGCGGCTGAAGGAAGAGGAGGACATAGTGGGGCTATCGAGACAGGATAATTACACAACCAAGGAGGAGGGTGGGTAACGAGACGACACAGGAAGTGATTGATGGAGCCAGCCAAATGTAAAACTCAGTCAGTTCCTTTTAAATGACCGTGCAGGGAGCAAGCTTTGAAGAAAATCAGGGCACGCACTGATTTCAGATAATAAAATAAATAATGTGCACTATAGTTGATCAATTCACTCCAATGGATAACTTTCTGATATAAATACAGACTAGTTTTTTCGTCAAAAAAACCCACTGCAATTTAAACCAGACACATTTTTTCTCAGTAAACGTTTCAATGCTGAATGCGAGTATTCTTTTCAGTGAATGTCCGCTGATGAAGGAGATGTAATTGTCATTCTTTAAGGGGCCTCATGACAGGCCTCTTGGCTGTCTCGGCTCTGCGTGCACATCATTTTGCTGAAATGTTCTATATTGGATTTTTCTTTTGTTGAAATATATGCATAGTTTCTGGTTTGCATTCCAGTGAAAAACGATCTGTCTGAGGTTAACAGGGTGAGTTTTTTCAGCCCTGCCGGCAGCGAGCAGGGTTCAGCAGTAACACGAAGAAGAACAATGTGGGTGGGAGAAGAGCGAGCAGAGAGTCAAGGTGTGTGCATGTGCAAAAATGGTCTTTATCCTAACAATCCTCCTCAACGTCCTCCCCTTTTAATCATTTTCTTTCTCATTCTCTGTCATTCTCTCGCCTCCTTCCTCCAGACTTCAGCTTCACTACTGAACATTACAGCAGCTGGCCCACACAAAATGGACTCCGTTACCTTTGTCTCGCACCCCCTTCTCACACATCCTTTTGTGTTTGTCTTTTCTTCTTTAACATCTCATTATCCTTCCTTAAGATAACTTCAACAACCTTTTATCTAACCAAACTGAAATGAATGATGTTGGATTTACGTTGAGTCTCTGTCTGAGAGAAACAGTTTATACTGTTGCAGTGTATTTCAATGTGGATAAG